GCATAGGTCTCAACTAGGTGGATTTGTTTCAAAATGAAGACTCTGTTACACATGTTTTAGGCTCAGTGTTGGATTCAGCACACTTCCATATGCATTAGCTTTGAATTTCAAAATCTTGGGTTCCAATTACAACGTTGTCTTACTAGTGCATGTATTTAGACAGTTAGATGCTCTGAATTTAATTGTTGTTTAAAAAACTGTATCACAAGCATCTTTATTGAGTACAGTTTTTGAGAAGAACCATGAATATTCTGTCCTTTAGAGCATCTTGAGCATTGGTACAAGTTAGTAAGTGCTCAGAAGGCATCAGGTATCACAATCCCTTTTTTAATAAAAGATTAAAACAGTATGGAAAGTTTTTGCCTGCAAGAAAGCACTCATCTGATTTTTTAAGAGTCCTATGTGCAAGAGATATGGAGTGAATTCTTTTCTTCCAAAACACTATTTAGGACGCAGATCCTATTGAAGCATGCATTATTGCTTAAGATAATATTGATTGCATCTTGTATGTGAAGCCAAGAGAAATCCCAGCATGCTCTTATCCCAGAACTTTACCATAACCCAAAATTTACAAAATATACTGCTTTCAAAATCAGGGGTAAAGGATTCAGAATGTTCCCAATTTTTATGTTTAACTTAATTGAAAGATATTATAAAGAAACATAATAGTATTGATTTACTTAGCTAGTCTTTGTTTGTGAATCTATTCCTAATTTAGAGGAAGATCTAAAATCTTATATCTAAAATATTATTAGTTTCTTAAAATAAATCTAAAAGAGAGACATATTTTACCTTTAATATAAAATTTTCCCATGTGCAAAACATAGCTTGCTGTGTTTATTGCAGCTCAGTATGTCCAGGAAAGAATTCTATATATTATCATATATATATATATATATATATATATATATATATATATATATCCCAGTGATACCCAGGTATATCAGGTGAGGTATTCAAAGATAAATTATTTGCAAAATTTTCTCCTTCTTAACCTTCTCTTCTGTGTTTTTCAGACAGACAAAACAAAGTTGAGCTTCATATTTATGAGAAATTGAAGCACAAATGTTAAGAGACTGTCTCAGGAAACCCCAGGAAACATTGGAAAGAATAGTAAAAAAAAATTCCTTATTCAACGTTTATGCATTCACTTAACTAATATTAACTTGAAATTTGGAGCATATTAAGTCCTCCTTAGAAACTGTCATGCACATTAAAGTACGGAATATCACCATCTCCTATAACATATAAGTTGTCACCATATCCCTCCATGATTGGGTAAGTAATTGGATAAATTAATCTTAACAGAGAGCAATTCTTTGCTGTTGTTGCTTTTATTGCATTTCAGTATTCCAAGAAAGATTTCCATATATTATCATATATATATATATATATATATATATATATCTGCATATACTCAAGTGACATATCAAAAGTAAATGCTTTGCAATAGGAATAAGAAGCCAATTGTAGTTAAGAGGTAATATTGACAATAAATACAACATCATAAACAAAATACTGAGGTAGATAATTAAATCCTGAAGTTTGCATGGTTTCAAGACCATTATAATTTCGCTGCTGTTGTCCAGATTTGTTCACTGTCATGAATTGCTAGACCCTGATTTTCATCTATTACTAAAGATTCTCATCAACTTATGAATTAGAAAAAATAACATTTTAAAAGGTGAAAATGTCATTAAGCCAAAAATGCACTTCATTTAGCTAACTTATCAAAAATTACAACTTAGCAGCACAGTGCACTGTATTATACAGGGTCATATCCTGGGATGACTGCAATTGCTGACTACTTTGAGATCATACATATATCGCTAACTCAAAAGTGATAAAAAATCAAAATCTGAAGTATAGATCCTGCTTAATATATGTTACTTTTTGTTACTGTGAAGTCAAAAAAGTGTAGTAAATAAAGTGACTTATCTGGATATCTCTGGAATCAAAAATACAGTCTAGGCTCAGAAGACCAGACGAGGTATGAAGAAAAAAAGGTTTAAGTCTCCTACAGAATGATTTTCACTTTGAGATTCCATGACTTCAGATCTGATTTCCAAATATTCTTTTTGCGTCTTACAATCATGTTCAATAATCATTTAATGTATATATTTTTTTTTAATTTCTAGTTATACTGTTCTATGGCCTTCATTTTTCTTTGCCACTAAATTGATGACAAAATAAATCCAGAAATATAGAGAAATTCTCCACTACTAATGGCATTAATTGATGTCTGGGAGTCATGTCATGTTATCTAATGACACTGAATCAAGTGATCAGTGCAAAATGCTGATTTTCAAGTATATTTTGTCTAACCATTTGAACAGCCCTGAAAATTTGCATAATTACATAGTTTGAGTCTCTAAGATATGGTAATTTTTGATTCAGATATTTTAACTCCCAGAAGAGGAAACAAAAAGGTAAGGTTTGACGTGAATGACTTCAATACTTATTGACTGTAACAAAATATATTTTCTGAACAAACATGAATGAAATGCAAATTATTAATATACCTCAAGTGATTCTGAACAAGTAGAGCCACCCCAACATCTACCACAAATAACTCTTTTTAAGGAAATAAAAACCCCCTATAATCAAAGTACTATGAATATTCAAAACCAAAATGGAATTCAAAAATTCATGATATTTTACAGAGAAAAATGAAATGTGCTTTTTAATTCATTGAGTCACATTATATCTAGTCCAGATTCCAAAGTTTGGTACTGTCTCATTATTATAGAGGTATGAGTAAAGGAAATTTTAGAAATATGCTTTAATAATTATGACAAAAAAGTACTAGGTGGTAAAAATTAGAACATGTGTGACGTGTGTACATGTGTGACTACTCACACACTTTTTGCATATATGGATGTACAAATAAACATAATGAGAAGCAGGCAGCAAACCAAATTGGTTGTGACTATTTATTAAGAGAAAATAAGTCATTTTTTCAATAACAAAGTCATTGCTCACTGCCTGCTATGACCCAATATTCCACAGTAGTAAAAAGGGCTGTAAAATTTGCTTTGCAAAGGTCTCTGTCCAGAAGAATATACCACTAAAATAGAATGTACACAGTCTTTATCATTTTTCCATCCCTGCAACACAAAATCTAACACTCAGAAATCAAAGAGCAGGTTTATTTTGGCTCAGAGTTTCTAAAGTAGCCAGACACAGAAACAGAAACACCACTGTGGGAAGGCCTGGGCAGGGGAAAACTACTCATCCTGTAATAGCCAGAGGCAAGAAGAAAAATAGGGAAAAATGAGCTTCTGGGTCACAATCCAGAGAGTGGCCTGTAACCATGTCCCACCTCTGAGCAGTAAGTCAGATAGAGCACATCCAAAACCCAACTTCCAAATATTGGCAAATTTTGAGCTACATTTCAGATTTAAACCATAATATATCTAAAAAAAAAAAAAAAAAAAAAAAAAAAAACAAAAGCAAAGATGCCATAAAAATATCAAGGCATGTTTGCCTCACCTCAAGTGTTACCTATTGTTAGTCTAAACATTTTCCGATCCTCTTGCATTTTACCATTTTCTAGTGTGTCTTCCACAGCTCTATACTGTGATTGTGTCACTCTGATGTGAAAAGCATACTGAGTAACCCTTCCACTCCTCCTGGAGAATGAAATTTGATTAGAAGATTTTTGAAACTAGATAAACATTGCTGATGAATCCAAACAAATATTTGAGACAAATATTATCTCCATTTGATTTTTAATATTGGAAAATGATTCTGTGATGTATTCAACACATTAATAAGCAAACTGAACCTTGATTTTTTTTTACAAACACAACAATATCTATATGATGACATAAAAAAGAAAACTTATTTATAACTCTGTATATTCCTATTGAAAACTAGACCAAAATGTCATTAATAATATCCTTGGGAATGAATAAAGTTTTTTTTTCCTCATGTTTTATATTCATATCTAAAAGGGGAGTTTTATATCTATCTATCTATCTATCTATCTATCTATCTATCTATCATCTGTCTATCTTTCTATCAGTATGTCTGTCTTTCTGTCTTTCTGAATCTGTTTCCATTATCTAGGTAGATACACACAACTACATTTAAAATACATGTAAGAAACTTCATTTTAGAACACTAACACAAAATCTTTCTTAGATATAAGACAAAGTTTACTCACCACCACCTCAGTCAGTACAAGTCACAATAACTGTATGGTAATACAGTTGCTGCCCCCAAACAGGAAAATGAGAGTTTTAAAACAATTGTCATTATCGGTAACAAGATCTCTGATTAGAGACTCCTAAACCAGCTACATCTCAGCTTTCTTGCCAATTATATGCTACAATTTACTAAAAGGATCCTAACTCTAACATTAATAAGAAAAACATGTGTTTGTAGCTTCTGTTTAATTTATATTAAACATCTATTTCCATTTAATTGGAAAATCCACCTAAAATTTCTTCGTAAACCATGACTTTCCTATTTATCACATTTTTCAACTGTGTTGTTATTTTTGTGATCCCATATTGCCCTATGTATTTATATCTGTGAGTGTTTAACAAACTTCCTGTAAAATCTCATATTATTTTCTAAAATCCATTCAGTGTAAATAAACAGTAAAATGTTTCTAGTCTTACAGCAATCATGAGGGTTTTTGTGTCTATTTCATTGAAACCATAAGGAAGTGGAAAGGCTATAAGTATTGTAAAAAAAAAATGTGAGTGTAAAAGAAGAGGAGACACAGTCCTCATCCAATCCTTGAGCTCCAGAAATCGGTATGATATTCAAGAATCTTGCCACCAATCTTGACTTGTCTGTTTGTGACTCACATGATGCCAGAAAAGAAAGAATTCACTTAGAATCCTCTGCTTCTTCCTCTTATTTCCTGAAGCAAATATGCGTTTTGTGAAAACAGTTTAAAAGCTATTTTGCTGTAATTAAAGCTAAAAACCCTCAGAGGTGTATATGCATTGTCATTAGTTTATTCTAAATCCAGAACTAAAGGATAGATGGATCTTAGAATTGCCCTAGGAGAAAAGGGTGGATATCAGAAGGAAAGGTAAATGAGCTGAAATTATTTTACAACCTTCAAATAAATTATAAGCCACTCAAGATTCATTATTTTCTCTAGGAATTGTTACAGCCTACACAAAATGGAACACAGATCTATTTCATACCAAATATCCAAAATGAAATGCTGATAATTCTTCACAGGAGCATTTACTTTAGGTAGAAAGCATACTATTACAATGAATTTCTTAATTTGAAGTGAATATTCAGGAAGACCATGGGATTCATTGCTGAAACATCATCATATATATATATATATATATATATATATATATATATCTCCATATATATATATATGGAGAGAGAGGAGAGAGAGCATCAAATATAACCAGTATGTGGTACATAGAAAAAAATTTATCCATGTTAATAATCATTTAGTCATATATTCTTTCAAATGTGCTAAATAAACATTTTACATGTGCTTTTTGTATTATTTATTAACACCAGCAAAAATCTATGTTAAAAGAATAAAATTATTTTTGAAAAACTGAGATAAAGGAGAAGACCAAAAAAATTGCACTGATGCATGATCATATGATAAAACATTATTGTGTCTAAAATGGTTTAAGAATAAAATATTTAAAAGATCATCAAAAGCTTCATGCAAGTAAAGAAATTTGAGCTACAATATAATGACGGATGTGCCATAGAGTTGAAAAATGCATCTATAGTATTATATGAGTTTCTTGAATTCGGAACTTGTGATATTGAAGCCATTCGGATTTTTCTGACTGAGGATGAGGACTTGGAACAAAATCAATAAAGATCAAGGATGATAATAAACCTCTTGCTTTCACAGAAGAGTTCCCTCACCCAGCCATAAAAATGACTCACCCTAAAATTTTAGTGGTTATATGACAGACGTTGGTAAACAATCAATAGCAAAACAAATTATAAAGAAAGCTCACGCAACCTAATATGGTAGTTTTGCTTTTTTTATGAGTAACAGGGAGGATGCAGTACAATTTTAACATGATGATTTAATTTTCTTACATCTTTTCTGGATTAAATGTGTAAGGAAATGTATGAAATCTATCACTGTCTCTGGAATTAAATGATACACTGACAAAAATATCACAGCAGTGATTCTGTAAGCAAACGTGAATATGAAATAAAACATGGCAATAAAAAAGGTATACATGGGCAAACCATAATACAACACATTGAATAATACTTAGCATGAGAAAGAGATCTAATTATCTTATTACTTTAAGCAATGTAATTGAGATTTGCATTTAAAGTATGAAGAAATATGTGTGTTTACAGTGGTAATCTAAATCATCTGGAAGGTTTTTCTGACATCTTTTCATCAGATTTTATTTTCTGAAGGCTCCAAATCATTGATAATTTTTTGGACTAGATACTCACTGCTGATACTAGAAATCAGCATATTGGCTTATTTTATGAATTTGAAACCAACTTTGTTTACTTAATACTATTAGAAAAACTTCTCCCACAAGGTAATGTCTCATATTCAAACATGGCACATTCAAGTAAGCATTTTCACCTTACTGACATGAAGGTATGTGCACAGACTCCATCTGTAAACATTGAATAATTTGTGTATTTTTATGTTTTCTTTCTTGTATAAAATTTGGAAAGCCCTATCATCCTTTTGTGCACTTTAGCAAACTAAATATCTATGACTCTCTCAAAATATGCTTTACAGATGGACAGAGCCTCTGTTTTTGCATTAAATAGGACCAAATGCTGTACTACATTTGCACAGCAATGAGCATTTATGCAAATCTGTAGAGTAGGCAGGTGCAAGAGCAAATTTCTTAATGCTATTTGCTTTGAAAATTGTATAAAGCTCCTTAATCTATGCTTGATATAGTGACTAAAAGAGTTTGGTTTCATATTTATAAACAATAACACCTGTTCACTAGCAGAAATGTAATTTCCCGTACACAAGAAAGTGGGCTGCATTTGGTATCAAGAGGAATTCCAAATCTTGACTCCAATAAGTAATGAGACAATGAAATGAAATATATTTTGCAAATGCTGAAGTGGTAGAAGTAGGAGGCTGAGAAGGGAGAGACTTTGCATTGACAGATGCAGACACATGACAGCACTTCAGCCCAGCCAGTGAGATGGCAGGCATCCACAGGGCTCCTTCTGGGGCTTCTTTCTTTGGCCCCTGATCCTGGCAGAGTCTTTCCCTTAGTAGGCCTAGATTTTCCTTTCCTTTCCTTTCCTTTCCTTTCCTTTCCTTTCCTTTCCTTTCCTTTCCTTTCCTTTCCTTTCCTTTCCTTTCCTTTCCTCTCCTCTCCTCTCCTCTCCCCTCCCCTCCCCTCCCCTCCCCTCCCCTCCCCTCCTCTCCTTTCCTCCCCTCCCCTCCCCTCCTCTCCCCTTCTCTCCCCTCCCCTTCCCTTCCCTTTCTTTTTTCCTTTCCTTCCTCCCTCCCTTTCCCTCCCCTTCCCTTTCTTTTTTCCTTTCCTTCTTCCCTTCCCTTCCCTTCCCTTCCCTTCCCTTCCCTTCCCTTCCCTTCCCTTCCCTTCCCTTCCCTTCCCTTCCCTTCCATTCCCTTCTTTCCATAATGCCTGAAATGATGACTCTTTTGTATCAATGTTTCCAATTGGCTATCAGGAATTAAAACCAAAAGTGCCAATTGTTTTGCACTTGATGAATTTGCTTCTGTACCCTTAACACACAATCAGACAAAGAATAGTGGTTAATTAAGATCAGTGATTCCTGTTTCTTTCTCGAAGCTGAATTCTCCCTGATGATGTAGTTCAGGTACTTCATTTCTAAAAGAAAGCAATGTTTCCCATTTTCTTCTTTCCTCATGTTCCATTCTGGGATTTCTTGCCTCTTCATGGAAGGAAGTGCTAGTAGTTCATTCAAGCATTCATCGTTCCGTTAAAGGAGTCTCATCACGTGTTGTCAAAAATACATGTGACTGGAAATGAAAAAAATCTTATTTTTCAACCTTATTGTCTTATTAACTTTTCTTTTTATCCACTCGTTGGTTCAATCTAGTTTGTCTATTTTCCTGAATATAATATTACTATGACTAGGACAGCCATGGCTCCATTCAATGATAATACTGGTCGGTTGTTTTTCCCTGCAGAGTGAGGTCCCATTATTTTAAACAACTCCACGTGCATCTCCCAGAGACTCCACACAAGGCAACTAAGAAAAGCATCTTAGAGAGACACAAGTTAACCATTCTTTGGCAAACAGTTAAGCAAGGAACAAACACTGTTCTGCCCCCTCACTGTTCAGTCTCAGAAATACTAACATGGATAGATGCTGGTTTTTCTTCTTACATGGCTCAAAATATCGTTCGGGAATCCACGCACCATGAAAGCAGGATATTGGTGCTTTATTATAGCAATTGGTGGGGTAGACAATCTTATGTCGTGGTTATAGAAGGACAGTTTAGTAATTGTGCAGCCAGGATGGCTGAACTTGGAGAAACACTCTTCTCACATGAGCAGAGCACTCTGCAATTCTCTTCTCAGAGCAATAAATAGCTTTTAATACTGTTTATCCATTTATATATACACTGAAGTCTATGAAGTGTGGAGTTTGGCCAATTTTTGAAATGCTTTTGAATATTTTTTCTCATATTTTATTTTATATATTCATTTTATTATGCTGATGTAAAACATTTGGCTTCTTTCTAATGCTAATCTTTTTAGCAGTCTTGTTCTTCAGTCCAACTTTGCAGGTGTTTCCTTTCTGGCAGGACTAGAAATATTTTTATATCTTTGACTCTGACATTTGCTTCTAATTCTCACTGTAGATCTTTCGTGAAGTAGCTGCAGCATTCATGCCACAGCCTTGAGATTTTCTCTACTGAATCAGTAAGTCCACTGCCCTTAATCTTAGTCTCCTACACAGTCTCAGGACATGGTAAAATGAAGAGATGTGGTCTACTATAGTATGACCGCCAGTCTAGCTGCTAACAGAATCCTTGTTCCCAACTCAAACCTACTATGTTTTGCTTGTAATGTCTGCACTTTTACCATCTCTCTGGTCTTCTGAGCTCTAAATACAATATTTTATTAAACTTGGCTTATACCATTCTCAGGCCTCTCTAGCTGGCATTTCAGAAACTCCAGACTCTTTCTTTAAACCATTTCCAACTTCTAAATCACTGGGTCAAAAAAAGTCTCAATTCCCCCAATTCACTGGTACTAAAAATCTGTATAAGTCACTTTTGTCACTAGAATAAAACATCAAATAACTGCTTTGTATTTATTTATTTATTGGTTCCTGGGTCTGAATTTAGGCCCTCATGTTCAGTAGGCAGGCACTTGTGTCACTGAGCTAACTCCTCAGTCCTACAACTGTAATTCAAAAGGACAGGTTAATTTGTTTTCAGAGGTTTCACTGCAGAATGATTAGCTGTTTTCAAGTCAGAATGGCTGGTAAACCACGGGTGGTGGTACATGCTGTAATCCCAGAACTCAGGAGGCTGAGGCAGGAGAATCACTGCAAGGTCTATGTCAACCTGGGCTACAAAGTGAGTTCAGGGTCAGTCAGAACTGCTTAGTGAGAAACAGTCTCAAAAAGACAAAAGCAAAACAATCAAACAACAACAACTCTTCCTCCCTCCCCTCCAAAAAAACCAGAATGGTGCGGTTTAAGAGCATGATGTAAAGACACACTCATACTGTAGTGGGCAGGAAGCAGAAAGGGAAAGGAGCAACTGGAGACAAGAATGCATCCCTTAAGGTCACTTCACTAGTGGCAAACTTCCAATCAGGCACCATCTCTAACAGCATATTTAGGTGGTAAGTACACAGCTCCTATGACCCAATCACCTTCCAAATGTCCGGGGTTTTGGGGTGTACTTTAGTTCTGAACCATGATGACCATGGTTATCACACTGTCTTAGATTTGCTCCTCAGAATTCATTAGCTCACTTGTTCTCAGGTTTAATGTATTAATTTCTCCAAATGTGCCTGGATAACTTTTGCCTACCACTGATGGACCGAGGTGTTCTCAATGTGGTACCGTGCCTAGGTTTTACTTCAA